AACCGCACTGTCTTTTGTGCCTTCCTGAACACAGCAAGTCCTCTCTGGCTGGCCATCCCAGAAGAGAGCACCTCCCACAGAGAAAGCCTGGGAGCTTGTTTTTGCCAAATGGAGAGTCCCAGGGAAAGGTGCCACCAAGAGAAGGCAGTCTACGGAGCATAACTGGCCGTGTAGTTTAAGATCCTAAGTCTGAGAGCCAGTTTGGTGCAGGGGTTAAGAGCGCGGACTCTGGGAGAGCTGGGTTTGAGTCCCCATTTCTCCACATGCATCTGCTGGTGTGACCTTGGGTCAGTCATAAGTTCTTTCAGAGCTGTTCTCTCAAGGGCAGTTCTCGAGAGAGCTCTCTCAGCCCCACCTACCTCACAGGGTGTCTGTGGTGGGTAAGGGAAGGGGATTGTAAGCCACTCTGAGACTCCTTTGGGTAGTGAAGGGCGGGGTATAAATCCAATCTCATCCTCCTCCTTCTCTCCTGATGGTGGAGAAACATGGAGCTTTGATCTGGAGGAAGAGGCTCGGTCTGATGGAGTACAGCTCTTTGCAGTTGAAGCTCTTTGTACTGAGGGAAGGCTGTCCCATTAGCGGAAGGGAATGTCACGCTCCACCCCTGTATCATCTGATTCAAATTCCTCAGCCGTTATTTATTCTTTCCTTATTTCAATCAGTCGTCTCGCAAAGCAGCTCTTATCCATCAAGAGACAAAGGCACAGGAGGGGAGGGGCGGGGAGGGGCAAAGGTAGAGGAGGGATATCAGTCTTGGCCGTATCTGAGTAATCTTCTTCATGGACTCTGTGGAGTCCCACACATGGGTTGGGCGCCTGTGCATGTGCGCAGGCGCCCAACCCATGTGTGGGACCGCACATATGACCACTCGAAGATCATCAGTTACGGGTAAGCAACCTGTTTTTCCTTTCCCCTTGGGGACCCAGGTCTTCCATTGCGGGTGCCCTGAGAAAGTAGGATTATAGTCTGCTCGTGGTCCCTCCACCAGTGGCCAGCTACGGGAGGACAAAGTATCCTCTCCCCTCTGACAAAGAGAGCTTTGACTCCTGAAAGCTTATTCCCCCCCAAAAAATCTTGTCCTCTCCAATGCTACTGGGCTGGGATCTAGCTGTTCTCCTCCAGACCAACACGTCCACCCTCCGAAATTCTCCCCTCTGCTATCCCAAGGTGGCTGACAGAGCAAAGGTCTTCTTAGTGGGGGTGGGGGGGTGGAAGAACAAGCTCTCTGCTTCTGCAGGTTCTCCAGCTAATGGCTGGGCTGCAAGATGGGCTAAGCAAAGGGTTGGTTCATAGGACATTTCTAAGGTTGGTATTGCATACGACTTTCAGTCCGTTTTGGAAATAGTCCAACCTTCTGTTTGCTGGATTAAACGCTCTAGTCTTATAGGCCTATTTTGGTCCCGACCCAATGGTTCCTTTTCCTCTGTTTCTATCAAGAGGCTTCTTTTCTGCCAGTCAACATAAATTAAACAGGTGTCACATGTGACTGGCGATAAGTAGCCCGGGCACACCGTCTCCAAGAAGAATCTCAGGCCTTGACCTCATTTCTGTTGTCTCCTCTAGACTGTCCCCCTCTGAGCAGTTCTTCTCTGTGCCAGTCTCAGGCCTTTCCTGGTCCTGCCACCTGTCGCCGTCCTTTTGCCAAGGATCAAACCGGGGACTTCCTTTGTGCAAATGATGTGCCCTGCCTGAACTGTGGACCCTGTCCAATCACTCGAGCACCATCTATGGCCCAGAGGTGTCAAATTCATTTGTTACGAGGGCGGGATCTGACATAAATGTTGCTTTGTCAGACTAGGCCATGGGTGCCATAGAATGTAATGCCAGATACTGGAAATAGAAACTTATACAGGACCCAGGCAAACCCAATTAACAATATTATTTTTTTACTCAAAATACAAACATGCTTAAAACATCAACACAGTATTTCCTTGAAGTATCTCCCAAATGCCCACCCTTCCATTTCCTTTGCCCATTACTCATTAGCACTGAGACAGCATACAGGGACATAATGCACAGCTTCTGTCATTTGGCAATAAAAGTAATGACCAGTTGCTCGTGGGCCGGATAACAGCCCTGGATGGGCCAATTCCGGCCCATGGGCCACATGCTTGACACCCTTAATCTATGTGGCTTTGTCAGCCATTCAGCAGTTCTTTCAGTGTCGCTTTCAACAGATGCTTGTCTTAGATTGGGGGGGGTGTTTTGGTTCACGAGCAAGATGGACAAGGTAGACCTGTAAAAAATGAAAACAGCCAAGAACTCCTGTGCTGCATGAGGGGATGCTCCTGGGTCTTGTCGTCTTGGCATGCTTGTGGATGTCCCGTGGATATTGTCTCTGTTATGTTCCGCATGCTTCTCCATCGTGCTTCCTGCTGATGCTGACAGTTTGCTGTAGTTTTAATCAGCGGTTGTAAGTGGGCAAAATGAATCTCCTACTGGTAGCACCAGCATCGATTTCAGAAAGTGTGTGTGTGTGTGTGTGTGTGTGTGTGTGTGTTTGGAAATGAACATCCCCAGTTCAGAAAGCCTCAAACACACGATGAGCTGAACCCAGCCTCCCTGCCACGGTGTTGCCCCTGGCTCTTAGTGGACCCATTCACACCCAACCGTAGCAGGCTGTGATGAAGGAGCTTCCGTGAAAACATTCAGCATTGCCATAACAAAGTGGACTGGGTGCCCAGATCTGTGGGAGGTGTCGTCATCGAGGTGCTTGGAAGCGACATCTTCCGTGGATTCCTGCCCTCGAGACGCTTCTGTAGTGCTGGTGGTCATAACGGAGGCCGTGCCAAGGCCTCCCTGTACAGGATTAACCCACTCAGCCCAGTCCAGGGATGAGAGGGAATCCTGTATTTCAGCACATTAAACAAAAATCCACGAGACAGTCTGTACTCTCTCTGGTCTTCACAACATTTTGCCACCAGAATCTCTTCACAGGGGTCCCCACCTAGCCTAAGAGCAGAGATTCAATCTCTTAGCTGGCATCTGGGACTTAACACATCAGCAACTCTAATGCAGAGATGCACACAATTATTATCTCACAGTGGTAGCTCTGTGGTCAGCCTAGACACAAGATTTAGCCTTGGAGTTCAATTACAGCATCAGAGACAATTACTGCTGCCTAGTAAGGTTTGGGGAAAGGAGGAGGAGAGGGGAGGGATTAGAAAAGTCCCGGATGAGCCCGTTCTAAAGAGAGCCAAGGGTCTAACCACTGACTCCTTGCAGATAGAATTGATCTTTGGTCCTTTTCTCACTGGACCTTAAGTCCTGGTTCAGCCCTGTCCCCGAACTTACATACTGTACTAAAAATCAAGTTCACCCGGTAATTATCTCGGGGTATTTTCTGTTTCCACGTTACACTGAGGTCACCCCGGTTTCGCCCCACACTTGTCCCGAGATAAACGGATGCTGTTATAACCAGGGATAAGTGCAAGGTATGGTGTCACGAGCTGAACTCTGGTAAAACCAGGAATGAGATCCAAGTGCGGAAAGGACCTTTGTTTTGTAATCCTGTGAGGATTGTCAGTTCTTGGGGGGGGGGGAAAGTTAGCAAAAGGAAAGAGTCTGGGGTAGAGCCCCGCAGACTTTGGCAGGCCTGGGAGTGGGACACAATGCAAAAGAAGGTGTATGTGGGGGGGAAACGCAGGTACAAACTGAAAAAGGGGGCCAGGGGGAGAGTTGGCTTACTTTCTCTGGCAGCTCCCCCCTAAACAGTTGAAAGCCAAGCCGTTTTTATTTCTGGACTGCAGGCAGTCCTGCATCGACCCTTCCTCCTCTGACTGTGTCCATGTAGCATTGCCTCCTGTCTTTGGTTCTGCCTGTTCTTTAGGAAAAAAGACAACCAGAATAAATAATGACAGTGTTATGAACCAGAGAGAAAATGTTCCCATATCTTGCTCAGGCTTCTGGGAAGATGGTACATCTTGTGGTCCACCTCGACTATGCTGCAGAGCAGTGCAGAAATGCCAGGGACTAGGCGGGTAAGGTGGGCCCAAGTGGGGTTTGCCACCTCTGGGTTGGGAAATACCTGGACATTTGGGGGTGGAGCCTGGGGAAGGTGGGGTTTGGGAAGTGAAGGGACCGCAGCAGGGCCCAGGGCCATGGATTCCACCCTCCAAGGCAGCCATTTTCTCCGGGGGAGCTGATCTTGGACATCTGGAGATCAGTTGGAATAGTGGGAGATCTCCAGGGACCCCCTGGAGGTTGGCACCAAAAAGCAGGCACGTGTGGCAGAGGAGAACTGGGAGCTTGGGGGTTCTGGGCTGTTTTAAGTAACCAGCGACTCCCCCCGCACAAATACACGTGAGCAGTTTGTTTCTGCACTAAGTGCATGGGGGGAGTCGGACTGCCTGAAGGAGGTCTGTCATTAGATGGGTGAGCTTGTGAGGGTGGGGCTGAGACCCCTTGCCTTTAGAGCAGCTCATCCCACTGGGTGGGCAGTTCCGGTGAAGCCCCAGAGCCTGCCCTTGGCGGAAGGGAAGACTGACCCCATCGGCCACCGCGTTGGTATTCTTCTTGTAAGCAGGATAGGTTTGGCACAGAGGCTAGGATCGCCGACTTCCAGGTGGGGCCTGGAGATCTCCAGGAATCACAACTGATCTCCAGACTAGGGAATGGCTGCTTTGAAAGGGGGTACTTTGTGGGCAGACCCCACTGAGCCCCCACCCCCCACCCCAAACCTCCAGTCTCCCAAGAACTGTCAGACCCGGAGTTGGCGGTCCTGATAGAGGCTGCTGGCCATGGACACTGTGCAAGCAGGCCCATCCAATCACAACAGAGCTATATCTGCTTTCTGTAAAGAACACGTTACACTTGTGTTTCGGAAGTGCTGAACAGCCACTGCTCTGTCTGCAGGAGTTATTGATTGTCAGGAGTTCTGAGAAAGCAGGTCCCGGCGTCTTGTGTTGCTCCTCAAGCAGAATCCCTCTTTGGTGGACTATTCAGTACATTATTTGACTTTGCTCTTTCTCTCTCCCCTCCTCCCCCTTCTTTTCTAAAAGCAAAAGCAAACCAGCGCCCCAAATCTCACCCAGCAAATCTCTGGGCGGAGAGTTCTGTGTTGCCGCCGTCTTCGGGTCCTCGAGGTCTTGGTTTGCAAGCAACCCGGGTCTGAAAAGAGAAAAAGGTTGGTGTGTTGGGATTGATGTTTTCATCTTATTTGTTTATTCAGGGCATTTCTTACCCTACTTGACTCTCCATCGGGGGGGGGGGGCAGAGCGCCTTACAAATAAATACGAATACTATCTAAATAGTGAAAAAACGTAATGTAAATAAACAAACAGAAGAAAGATACACTAAACATCTTAGATGGCCTGGATGGCTCAAACGAGCCAGATCTTGTCAGATCTCGGATGCTGAGCGTGGTCGGCCCTCTTTAGTACTTGGATGGGAGCGCTGTTCCCTCTAAGCTGAGTTAGTGTGAGCTAGCTCAGTTTTTTAGCCTCCGGCTCACACATTTTTGTCTTAGCTCAGGAAGGGTGGCTCCAGAGCAAACTAATTTATGCAGCAGCCAAATCGCTCGCTCACAACTTTAATGCCAGTAGCTCACAAAGCAGAATTTTTGCTCACAAGACTCCACAGCTTAGAGGGAGCATTGGCTGGGAGACCATCAAGGAAGTCCAGGGCTGCGACACAGAGGCAGATGCCAACCCCCCCCCCCCCCGAGCATCTCTCGCTTTGAAAACCCTATGAGGTCACCATAAGTCAGTTGTGACTTGATGGCCCCTTCCACCACCAAACATCTTGAGCTCGTCCGGAATTTCCTGGGGTGGTCCATAAAGGCTATGGGCTAAGCACCTTGGTCGAGGAGCCCTTTGGCTCTTGGCAAAAGGCTCATGCCTCTGGCTGAACCCAGCCTTGGAGTACCTGCCACAGCAGGGCAAAAAAACTCAGCCTAGATCTTAAGCAAATGTCAGCTGTCTTCCCACAATTCCTCTCACCCGGTTTTGAATTCTGGCCAGTTGGCTTAGCCTAAATTATAGCCCCCAATGGAGAGCATCAGTCATTGCTGTGGAAGAACAATTCATCATCATGCTTGGAGACATCAACAGGCTGTGGGGGGTAGTAAAGGTGGAAGGAAGGAAGAGAGCAGCAAAGGTAATGGGGGATGAAGACTTTTGGGGGGAATTTTTTGCATTTTGTATGTGCGTGTGTGTCCGTGCCTGGAAGCAATGTTCCCTCTAAGCTGTGGAGTCTTGTGAGCAAAAATTCTACTTTGTGAGCTACCGGCATTAAAGCTGTCAGCGAGTGATTTGGCTACTGCATAAATTAGTTTGCTCTGTAGCCACCCTTCCTGAGCTAAGACAAAAATGTGTGAGCTGGAGGCTAAAAAGCTGTGACCTAGCTCACACTAACTCAGCTTAGAGGGAACACTGCCTGGAAGTCATGGCGACTCCTACTGGGGCACGGAGGACGTTCAGAGAAGTGGCTCGATAGCCTGTCTCTGCCTCCCGTCCCTGGTATTCTTTGGAGGTCTCATATCCAAATACTTACCAGGGCCGGCCCTGCTTCGCTTCCGAGATCAGGCTTGCCTGGCCTATCCAAGTCGGGGCATGAGGGATGAAGACTTGAATCCTAAGAGAGCCTGGGGCTGTGGTGAGCAAAGAGATCCTGCTCCAAGATCCAAGCACCGGAAGCAACAAACTCTCCAGGATTCTCTCGTTTGACACAAACCTGAGCCACAAGTGGCAGATAGCTCCAGAGGGCAGCCAGGCAGGTCTGTAGGTAGAACAGCTCGATCCATCAGGTATCTGGCGAGAATGGAACTTTGACTCTCGAGAGCTCATCGCCTGAAAAGCTTGGTCTCTGCTCTCTCCCTCTGCCGGGTCCTCCGGCCAGTGGCTGGGCCACGTGATGAACTAAGCAAAGGGTTGGTTCCCAGAGAAACAGAAATCTTGTTGGTCTCGAATCTAATGTTGGGACTCGAATCTAATGAGTGGAAGAATTAGTTATTCTAAAGTTTACCTGGGCTTGGAGTGGGGAATCCCTGTGGCTCTATCAAAAGTCTAATGTGATCTTGGGGAGGGGAGCAGTTAAATTTGCACATCAGTTCCTTTAAAAATGTCCTTTTTGATGGCCAAAACAACAAGGGAACATTCTGCTGGCAAATGTGTTTTCAAACATACCCTCTAACAGTGTCTTTCTTTGCCAACAGAACAGTCCAAACAGTTTGTAGTGGAGTCTTTGTATATAATCAGCTGCTACGGTACTTTGGTGGAGCACGTCTTGGAACCCCGACCACTCAGCACCGCCCCAAAGATCAGCGACGACACCCCGCTGGAGATGGTCACTTGCCCGAGGGCCAGCTGGACGCTGGTTAGGTAGCCCGTCATTCCTTTGCCACTGTTTTTGTTGCATTTTGCAGTGATAGTATGAAATGCGTTCCAATTCTTGGACATTTAGATTTGGGACATCTGGATCCCTGAAGCCACACGGTGTCTGTGCCATCTCTGGGCAGTCTGCCGAAGAGGATTAGTGGGGCTTCTTGCCAGTTTGGTGTAGTGATTAAGTGCGTGGACTCTAATCTGGGAGAATGGGGTTTGATTCCCCACTCCTCCACTTGCAGCTGCTGGATGATCCTGGGCAAGCCATAGTTCTTTCAGAGCTGTTCTTTCAAGGACAGTTCTGGAAAGAGCTCTCTCAGCCCCGGCTGCCTCACAGGGTGTCTGTTATGGGGAGGGGACGGGAAAGGAGTTTGTAAGCCACTCTGAGGCTCCCGAGTGAAGGGCAGGGTATAAACCCAATCTCCTCCTACTCCTCCTACTCCTACTCTTCTTCTTTGGTGTCGTGGTTAAGTGCGCAGACTCTAATCTGGGAGAACCGGGTTTGATTCCCCACTCCTCCACTTGCAGCTGCTGGATGACCTTGGGCAAGCCATAATTCTGGCACAGCTGTTCTCTCAAGGACAGTTCTGGAAAGAGCTCTCTCAGCCCCACCTACCTCACAGGGTGTCTGTTGTGGGGAGGGGGAGGGAAAGGAGTTTGTAAGCCACTCTGAGACTCCTTCAGGTAGTGAAGGGTGGGGTATAAATCCAATTATTTCTTCTCCTTCTCCGTCTTCTCCTTCTTCTTCCCAAGCAATGTACACAGGGCCATGTGAAATCTGTGCTAAGAAAAAAGCAAAGGAAAACATTGCCACTGCTGGGAGTTACACAGATTGGTCCATATAACCAATTGCTTTTATTTTTGCATCACGCAGCCTGCAGTTTAACTACCTGCCATAATTTATTCTGCATATTTTAGTCATGGGTAGTGGCAAGGCATCGAAAACCGCTTTACCTCCTGAAATCTTATTTAGTTGTCACTGTGGCTGCTGATATTGCATCAGACCCGAAACAAGCTGAGGCACTCGGTAGAACTCTGCACACTTCCTGTGCCTTTGTGTCTTTTCTCTCCTGTAAAATTGCAACATGTACACGATCCTGAGAATATTAGTTGGTTTGACTTGATTATCTTATTCTTTATGGATAAAATTTTTTGTTTTTTGTTTTTATTTTATTTATTTCCTGCATTTCTTGCTGAAGCCCAAGGCAGATTCCAAAATATAAAATGCAATACAATCAGACTACATAAAATTTCCAAAAAAAGCAGTGCAATAAGGTTAGGATTAACAGAGTTAGGAAATAGTGCAAACACAAAACTGTCTCAGGCAAGGTACTCTGTAAACAATGCGGGAAGAGGATTACAAAAGTAGATGACGTGGCACTAAAAAAAAAGATAACACATGCAATAAATGTTGCTGAAGACTACAATCCTCCTCCCCACAAAAGTGCTCTCCTGGACTGTTCCATTATACTGTGGTTGTCATCCCGTCATAGGAATGCTCTCCCACGCTGTTCAGTTTTGCGCATTCTGAAAAATGACAGAAGCGTGGGAGCTTTCCTCACCTCCCCAGGCAGGCCGAATGCACTGGCGATCATGCCCAGTCACGGGGGGGGGGCACCTTCCACGGGCTTTGTTCAGAGGAGGAAAACTGTCATGGCAGAGCATCACAGGGGAGGCAGTCCTGTGGAGACGAGGGTCCTGGCCCATTGGGTCCAAGAAGATGAATTATCCTGATTATATTAAGGGTTGCGTGTACTTTGTGCTTAAAAGAAACCCTGATTTCTGTACTTAAAAGTTTACTTGGATTTTGTGCAACAGCAGCCTCCCTCAATGACAAATTTTGTTCCTAATGCATAGTTTATTCTGCATCTTCAGTTACAGAGCGGGGCAAAGAGTGTGCACGCCCCACCCTATGATGGATGAAAGCCTCACTCAGATCTGCCTGAAATGTCAAACATACACTTCCCATACATAAGCATAAGAGAAGCCAGTGTTGGATCAGGCCAATGGCCCATCTAGTCCAACACTCTGTCACACAGTGACCAAAAATACCAGGTGCCATCAGGAGGTCCAGCAGTGGGGCCAGGACACCAGAAGCCCTCCCACTGTTTCCCCCCAAGCACCAAAAATACAGAGCATCACTTGCCCCAGACTGATAGTTCCTATCTATACCTAATAGTCACTGATGAACCTCTGCTCCATATGTTTATCTAATTCCCTCTTGAAGCTGTCCATGCTTGTAGCCGCCGTCAACTCTTGTGGCAGTGAATTCCACGTGTTAATCACTCTTTGGTTGAAGAAGTACTTCCTTTTATTTTATTACAATTCAGAACTTTTCTTTGCAGCCCAAAGGGCTAGAGCAGAAACTCCCTTAACTGGGGCACACTAGACTTGCATAGCACGACAAGAGAAACAAGTTCATTAGATGATTAAAAATGTCAGTAGCCCACAGTACTCTCTTGCAAAGGAGGATGCCTGCTATGTCTCTGTGTGAATTGCTGCACAGGCCTTGCATTGTTCCAAGTAGTTCTGCCATGCCTTTGCATCATATTTGGGTATTCATTCACTCCCAGAGCAGAGAACTTCATAGAAACAAGAGCAGTAAGTCTGTGTAGCTACATATTCTTGTCCTGTTTGCTCTGGATCTGACTTCCCTTCATTCCTTTTGTCAAATTTTAAATTGTAAGCACCTCAGGACAAAGACCAGCCTTCTTGTGTTCTGTAGAGCTCCATGCTCACCATTGGCCCTGTATGAAATGCCAGAATTGGTCATCTTCAAGGAGACTGCTTGTTGCATCACTGCATGAATCAGCATTCTGGTTGCACCTCCTTCTATTGAAGAGGCATGCCCAGGACCATGACTTATGCAGAAACACAATGAGCATACTACTCTGAGGGCAAGTAATTTTTACTATTTCATACTTTAAAAGTTAAAAAAGCGTGCTCTCCGGTTTAGTATAAGAAAAGTGTGCTTCAGCTATTAGGACTCTGGGCCACCCTGGACTAGAAACCTTTTTAAATGGAAGTTAAGATGCCCAAGGGCCACGGTGGCTCAGAGATTAAGATGCTGAGCTGCAGACTGGAAGGTCTGTAGCTCAGCAGTTCGAGACCCTAGTGCCACATGACCCTAGTGCCGCTTGCCCCAGCTCCTGCCAACCTAGCTGTTCGAAAGCAAGAAATTGCAAGTAGCTAAATAGGTACTGCTTCGGTGGGAAGGTAACAACGTTCTGTGCACCTCAGCGTTTAGTCATGCCAGCCACATGACCACAGAAACGTCTTCAGACAGCGCTGGCTCTTCAGCTTGGAAACGGAGATGAGCACCGCCCCTAGAGTTGGATTTGACTGGCTTTCAAGCAAGGGAGACCTTTGCCTTTACCTTTACTTAAGATGCCCAAGGAGCTGAATTGTTTACTATATCAAGCCTTCTTTACCCTGAGTTCGGCCAGTGCTTCACATAGTCCAGGCCCGTTTAGTATAGCTCACCACCACTGCCCAGTCCACCAACTTTGTCCCCCACATCCACATACTTGACCCTCCCGAGTGTAGGACAAAGCAGTGTGCCTCTGTCTTCCTGCTTGGCAGCCCGGCTGGGAAAAGAGACTGAAAGGAGACAGACAGGTTGGCCCCACTGAAAAGTCCCTCGGGCCACATCCAGCCTAGGGGCCGCCATCTGCCCCCCCCCCCCAGTGGCACACAGCAAGAGGCTAGACAAAGTGCCCTACGTAGGTCTCCAAAGCCAAAGTATTCTCAAGGCTATTTAGAGAAACTAGACCTGACTTCGGGACGAAATGAAGGAGGAATTGCTGAGAAAATATTATCAGTGCTTTTGACATTTTAAAATATTTTTCAATTGATTTTTTGGGGTAGGCTCCAGTCTTCTTCGCTGCTGGCTAATTCCTGGCCTAGCCTGATCAATATTTGATTTACCAAGCTCTTTAAGAGAGGCCAGCCCTAATTAAAATGACAACAGCAGCCTTTCAAGGGTGCCATTGTCAAAACAAGCAAGTTGTAATGGGATTGCAAACCCCAGTTGGGTCGATGCACTGTAACTTTGCACAACTTGGTGTTCACAGTTCTGCAACCCTCTGGACACTTTCCCGGTTCTTCGGCATGGTAGAGTGCTAAGCAGCGCTATGTTAGGATTATGTTGGGTTTAAAATACACATGTTGGGGAGACAGGGGGGCATCACAAGCCCACGTCGTCCCAAAAGCATATTGTTGCAAAGGCCATGTAATCT